CATGCGGGAGATCCATGGTTCTCAGAATGGCTTCAGTCACTGGATCGACTGGACACCCAGATCCTGGTTGCCCATCCTGAACTTTGTCATCGACTGGTCAAGAAATGCCTCTTCTGCCAGACTTGGCCTGCGAACCTGAACGGTCACCTAGCTTCACACCACAAGGACTTGTGGACGAAGGCGGAGCCCCTGGAAGAGATTTGTGCTGAGCGCTTCCTGGCTGCTGCGCCGGCAACGAGATGGTGCGCCTGCCAACCCTACCAGAGGTTGGCGGAAGATGAGCGGGAGAATCATTCCTGCACGTGCCTTAGGCAATTTTCCTGCCTTCATTTGCTTTTGAGGTCCATGCAACCGCAACAGGCCCAAACGACCACCCTGGCCATGTTGCTGGACACTCACTTTGGTTGAAGGTCCTACGGGACTGGCGGACTGGCTAAGACGCCAAGGGTCCACGCGATCACCTCCGGTGAGCGTTGAGAAAGAAAGATGATGATGATGATGGCGATGATGATGATGATGATGGCGATGATGATGATAATGATGATGATGATGATGGCGATGATGATGGCGATGATGATGATGATGACGACGATGATGATGATGATGATGGCGATGATGATGATGATGATGATGATGATGATGATGATGCCGATGCCATTTGCACTCAGATCTTTGATGGAGAACATGGTTGTTTATTCGAGAGGAACTCCACCTTAATATTCAACATCGGTGCAGACTTCTGATTCATAGAGTCATACAAGATCACACAAGTGTGCAAGATCGCCCCGCAGCCATGCTTCAGGACCAGGCTGTCTGCAGGTAGATAAGACCACGTTGCTTACCCCGTTGGGTGGATCAGGAATCCCCAAACAAACATATATATAATCGGGTTTGTCCCAGCAAACCAGTCAGTCAGTAAACAATTATTACATATTATCACTGTTTTTAGAGAGAGACATTTACTTACGACTTACGATCATCATCCACTGTTACTGGTAATTGGATAGACCCAAGATATATAACTTAAGTATACCCTCCCTCCAACGATTGTGGAAGCTGACCATGACACCCTTCTACAGGATAATGGTCCTCAGTGGCCTGCGTTCCACTTCCATGATTGGTTTAGGGAGTGTTTTGACCTCCCCGATGGTAGGAACAAAAAAAGGATCCTCGTTTCTCAGACGGCGAGGTCGATCCAAATGCTTCGGAAAGTGGACATGAACCACGATACGGATCCCCGTTCCGTCTCGAGACTTCGTCGTCCCATCGCCTTACTGGTAAGGCATCATGACTGCAGCATCGATGGTGGTCCTGGTCATCAACTTGCTATTGCAGTATGCTGCCTGGCCTGAGAGCTTGCTTTGGTTTCATCAGATGATTTTGGGGGGGTCTCCAGCCTTCCAGGGCAGCGCGTTTTTCGGGCGGAAAGCAGCAGCCCTGACTTAGCCAGTCATGACTGGGCAACCAAAATTGAACCTTTTTTGGGGAGATTTGCTGTCCCACTGTAACAATTGAGCAGGTGGAAGAAGGTGAACCTCCATTTTTCTGGCATGCCACACTTGCCACACTTTGAGCACACAGGCCTCACAGATGTTTTAGCAGCTCTCAGAAGACCCGCAACGCCTGGTCCGGGTAGTCTATCAATCATTTGGGAGCCCCGGATGGAAGTGCCGCCGACGCTTTTCTCCCAGGTCCTCATCGCAATGGCTCGCTTCGAACGACCCTTGTCGAATACCGCGCTGAACCAGTCGATGATGCAGAGCCTCGGCGATGGGGGACATCGTCCATCGTGTCAGACCACCGGAATTCTGGAACACCCAGTTCAAGAGGTGCAATGTCAAGTAGACCCAACTTCAACACCTTATTGCCTTATTGTTTGGGGACTTCCCTTCAAACATGCGCACCCATAGACTGAAAAAGACTTTGGGGGTGTGGAGATTGAGCAGATGGCAAGCGGAGATGGGTTAGTAAGAAATGTCAACCAAAAAGAATGTCCATGGCGTCACTTTCCCCATTTTCCACTATCACTAGACCAAGGGAGGGGCTGGTGACAGGAGATATGGCGAGATGATATGACATATTGTAAGGCTGCCGGGTGGACATCTTTCGATAGCTTGCAGTGACAGTTGCAGTGACCTATTCGGTACGGAGTCGTCCTGAATCATGTATAACTTATAACATCTTATAACGTAGAAATACGTTTATGCAGATGGGGAAATCGTTGGAACAAGCCGCATCACAGGTATGAATTTCATCGAATTTGTATACTCCTCTCAAACCAATCACATGCACACCATAATCATTCACATATTTTTTTCCCCAGGATCATCCAATGGGTGTCCAATAGACTACCCTACCCTACTTACAGGTCTCCATTGGGCACCCGTTGGAAGTGCTAGGTATATGATCGTTGATTGTTTGTGTTTGCTTTCATTTTGCGGGGTTCTCCCCAGCTTTCTTGGACTGTAGTGGTGAAAGTGCGGACGATTCTCGTCTCGCCGCCCCTATCCTTTCTTTATAGAATACATGTAAGTTTGATGGCACAACATGTTGTATAAAGAAAGGATAGGAACCGCCTATTTTGTTGTAAAAATTGGATCTGTTACATTCTTTGGATGCGGGGCTATCAGATTCGTCATGTGCCGACGCTCAGGAAGATCTTCTTGGCGCAGACCATCAACACAGGTGGGAGGAGAAGCGGAATCATAGAGGAAACAGTGGATCACTGTTACATTGATTCATTTATGGGTGCAATTGAATAGGGGGACGCCAACCCATGGGTTTTGCTCTATTTCCTTCTTCCAGAGGTTCTTTGGGAGGTCTCTCTATTTTAATACACCCTCACATGGGTCTTAAAATGTTTTAAACCATTACATCTCCACAAGGGCCCCAAGATTTGAAGCAATTATCGATGCATCCCGATGCATGGTATACCTAGCCGGCACAGTCCGAGGAGCCGGCATTACCCGGGCTCCGTTTTGGCTTGCTTGTTTGTATGTCAAGACGGTTTCACCATGTTTCACCCAGATGAATTCATGGATCAATTCCGCTGATGCATCGGGTGGAGGGGGATGTTGATAAAATCATAGTCCTGTTGGTGCGCTCGTCTTTGGTCCTTCATGTGTCGCTTTGCACAGGCTTTGTGCTCTTCATGGTGAACACCTATGGGCCTCAAGTTGCGAACCTCGACTGTGTAGAGATGTTGGAGTCAGACCAGGTCAGCTGCAGGAACTCCTGGAAGGGATGTAAAAAGCTCGACAACATCAACAGTCCCAGGCAACCCAACCTACCGAACCAAGCTGACTCTTGGCCTGGCGCAGGTTGCTTAGGTTGCTTGTGTCATAGAAATGCCCGTGTTGTTCGTTGGCTCTACCCTTGGTCAGACCCCATCCGTCCCCCATCCGTCCCCCAGCCGACCCCGCGGACCGTGCTGAAGCTGGCTGTGTCTGCGCAGCGTTTGAGTCCAAGACCCGACATAACATGGGAGAAACGAACATGGCCCCAGCAAGCGCTATAGGTATTGATGCATATATAGCACACACAGAATGATGTCTATATATATATATTCTTGTCTAGTATGTAGTTAAGTTGTACATATATATATATATAATCATAGACATAGCTCTCTCGGATAAGAGACCTCAGTGTAACGCAAAAAGCACTCCTGGAGTACTAAAGTCTCATCGAACATTTCGAGCAGCCATGAGTGCTACCTAACATGATAAATCCTGGCTTCGATGACCCGAGCAATCCGGGGACTCCTTCAGAGTTTGCTCAGCATAGACCCCTTTTTGGACCCTAGAGGTCAGGAACTGATCTCGACTCAATGAGGTCTTTAGGACCCAGTTTTACCTGTAAACCTGTCCTAAAAGGTGCGCGTTCGCCCTGTACTCAATGAGGTCCTAAACTCAATGAGGTCTTTGCACCTGTACGGAAAGCTGTGCGTTCGCCCTGTTTGCACCTGTGGACGCTCCGGGACGGGTGGGGTGTTCACCCGAACGACAACTGAGCGACCGACCGTGGAGGTGTCGAGGTCGTGGGACGAATTGGAGGAATGGCATCGCTTCGATCGAGCGAGGTTGGCTGCTTCCAGAAAACATGTGTTAATGATTCATGATTAGATGTTAGGTGTTCCAGTGCTTGGGAAGCTTCACCAGTCACCAAACATTCAAGAGTTCACAGTGTAGGTCTGAACGCCGCGGGCGCGGGGACCGACCCCCTGTGTCAGCGACTGTCAGAACGCACCGTGTCAGCGACTGTCCGTAGCGTCCCGTGCCGCGTGCCGCGACCGGTGGGGTCAGCCATGGCAGATGTGGACAAACTTGCGGCGAAGCCACAACTTGCTTCAAGACTTGGGACGGCCACTGGGAGTTCTCACAGCGCGCGCGCGCGCGGAACAGCGCGGAACATCCGCGCGGAAGCGCGCAGCGGCTTTGACGAGTGATGTGTGACGGTGGTAAAGAGCGTAAGGAGGTCGTTCTTTTGGCAACTTGAAGACTCGGCCAACCGTCACTCGCCGACAAATCCTGGTGAATGATATTCGATAAAAACACCGGACGGACGCTGCGATACCCTTAAGGTGATCCGGCAAACCCACTTGTTACAAACATGACATGGCAGATGGTTTGCCCCTTGCGAAACGATTCCATCAAATGAACCATATAATATGCAGACTCAGGGCATAGCACAGTTCCTCAGGGTCCGGCCATCCGGGATATGTTATGCACATGTTTTCCTGTTTAATGTTTGTTGGCTGTGATGGGTATCCAACCTTTGTCTAGCTCGGACTTGCTAGGAGCAACGGGAGCTGTTGGTAAAGGAACATCAGCAACCAAAGCATCATCCTCCACTTGGGCCCTGCTAATGGGATATGCCCGAGATCAATCTGCCATGTTTGGGCCAATCTTCTACAATTTAAAACGTAATTAAGCCAATGCTGCACAGTCCAGATCTTTCATCGGCCAAGGAAGTTCGTCCAGGGGTGGGTGGCGGAGGTTCACCAGCCCTGATCCAAGGAAGAAGCTTTGGCAAGAAGCAGTTCAGCTTTTGAAAGCTCCTTAGCCGGAACTGGCCGGAACTTCCCCATGGAATGGAATGGTCTAGATCTAATTACATCATATTAATCCTGTCCACCTATTGAGAACACGGGGTCCCCCCCCACAAGGAAACGTCGGTCGCATGTGTTTAAATAGGGGGTCCCTGAAATCGTGGTGGTCCAAAATAGGGTCAGCTGGGAAGGGCTTCAAAACCAAAAAGTAACCCAGGATTTTTAAATATAAAATCCTTTGTTGAACTCGTATCAACAATTCAATAAACCTCCAGATCGAAGGGTCTTCCTTTTCCCCTACAAAAAAGTTTATTAGAATAGTGATTCTTCATTAGACTAACAACTAAATCTTTCGAAAAGGTGATGTCGCTGTGCCATACGGTTTTGCGTGACCTCGGTGGAAAGTGCGTTTGCGTGAGTCCGTGTCATTGGGGGAAGGAAAGCCTGCAGGTGTAAACACGGCAGTTACTTTTCTTTTTGGAACCAAATATTTAAAAAAGCTTCCCCAACATCGGCCATGTTGGTAGTCTAGTAGCGGCTTGAAAGGGCGGTATAGTTTAAAAACGATTATAAGCCGTAGTTAGGGGTTTCCGACATGACTTTGTTTTAATAGGGGTCCGTCTTTAAATGTGTACTTGGGCTGGGCTTATATATATATATATACGCACCCAGGGATCGAGGCGTACCTTCTCAGAAGGTGATTAGAGACTTGTGTAGGTTTGGAGGGTCCAGTCGCTTCTGAGAAGGTACTTGGATCTCTAGGGCCTTAGGGATATATGTATATATTCAACCATCTAACACAGTTTAAATATTTGCCAGGAAAAGGCTCCCATGGGTGACCCCGTGTATTCGATCCCAAGTTCTTTGTCACAAAGTTCAGCCACAAATAACGGGATGGCTCGGTTGCATTTCCAGTTTTCCGCGATGTGGTGCCGCATGCCGAGGACTTGGGTTCTGCCCGCGATGCAATTGCAATCAACTGCACAATCAGTGCCTGTGGTGCCGCTTTGCGCTGGGAGCAGGCTAGGCCAGCTAGGTATGCTGTTCAGGTGGAATTGCCACCCGCGTCAGTGCCAAAAGAAACTCGAACACCCGAGGGTCCTGAAATGTCCTGAAGGCACAAATGGCCGTCCTGGGTTCGGAGGGGGCACGCTGAAGCTTCGGTTGTCATCGTATGATCCTTTTAAACTGACCATGGGAACTGGACAAGGTCTCGTAGTAGCTGCAGTTATTATGGAAATGGCGCTCCAGTGGGGAGTGTAGGAGAACTTGTTCATTAACAACATTTGTGGCACATTCACTCAATGATTTACAAGGTCATGCTAACCCATGCTAGCTGCTAGCCCCATTGAATACTATTTAGTTTCTGATCTAGTGCCACGTCACGACTTCAGAGAATGTGCAGGCTGAAAGTGTTCCAGACCTTGGATAGAACTGGAGCTGCGATGGTCAACTTAAATATGGAGAAATGCGTTTTAGGCTATATGTGGATGTCACGCCACACATTAACATCAGATTTTTCAACCAGCACCTTTCCAAGTCTGTTTTGGACTCTACATCGTCTATCAGTGGAAAAGCGTCACCCCTTCAAATCCTTCGGACATGGTCGCAGACCACCCGCGAAAGACCGCGGAAAAGGACAGGAAAAACGCGGTTTCACCTGGAACACGTCACCCGTCATCCCGTCGCCCTCTTTTCGCAAAACCAAATGCCTGTGGCTTTTCCCGGGCGTTCCTTGCACCGGGGCGCGCCAGGCCTTGGTCCTTTTGCCCAGTGATCCGATCGGCGCCTCTGCGGTCTTGAGCGCGTGCGGCCGCGCCCAGCAGTGGCAGAGGGCGCTGGCAGTGCTGACCGCCGGAGAGGCTCACGCCGATGCGGCATGGACGCACCGAAAGGAAACGCAGCCGAACTCCCGCAGGACGTTCCTGCAGCCCAAAAACGTCCGGATGGCGTCTGGATGGGGTTGAGAGGGGGGTCATGTTCTACCCAGTGAAGGGCATGCAAGCACCAAAGATCGTTATGACGATGTCCTTCTTAGTCAGCTTGTGGACGATGTGTCATTATGTGATGTTCATGATTCCAGTGGATTATAGGCTCGGCAAAGACAGGTACGGTACTGTCCATTTGGATCGGCGTTTTTGGGTTTGTGCGTTTGGCGTGCAACCCTTGCAGCAAGCACCAAGCACACCACATTTTTAGAGGTCCTGTGCCCATTTCAGAGGTCCCATGCAAACGGGAGGAGCCCCAGCTAAAGCTTGGCGTCGATGTGTTGTACCGTACCTCACAGGTACTCAGGTACCCTCAAACACGACTTTTTCAACCTGTTCTCCAAGCTGTGGCATTTGTTGGGGCCGAGTTTTCTGACCAAGATCAACCTGAGCACCCTGCACGACTGGAAGCTGTCAAACCAGGATGTTTGCAGGTTTAGGAGGTGAGGAGTTGCTGACGCATGCTGAAGCACGTTGGCGTTTGTATCCTCCTTGGAATTTCCTCTACAAAATCATGGGGGTTGGGTGTGTCAAGCGCCTAATTTTTGTACAGCTAACATCTGACTTGTTTAGGGTATGCAGGCCAAGGATGCTTTGTAAAGAATTGATCTGAGTTTGGAGGGGTAGGTGAGGCAATTGATTCTGTAGAATCAGAGATGGTTTAGATAAGCCACTGTTCAATCTGGCTTTTGCAAGTAGGGGGGATGATTATGAGATTTTACCTGAGGGTATTGATTTTGAAAAGACATCGTTTGAGCGTAGCTGCACAGACATGCTCAAGCTATCTCAAGCTTATGGAATCAATATCTCAAGCTTAGGAAGAAACATGAAGAAACAATAAGAAACACATATTACCATATATTAAAGGGTATGTTGGGAAAATTATTCTGTACAAAGCATGTTGTTTTGCATGTCAAGGATGCAATTTTGTAAACCTGTTTCTTCTCAGAAATGTGTTCGGGGCTGCCCTGGGTCTCTAGATTTCGTAGTAAGTTTTGATGTGTTTCTCGACATCAGTGTATTGATTCTGTAGTTTTGGTTGGTTAGGGGTCTTGATCTTGTAGTGAGGTTTGAGACCAGGACATTGATATTGTAAACAGTTGTTTTCACAATCAATCACCCCTGCCACGAGCCGGTATCCCAAAAAGGATGCGTTTGTTATGTATTGTTATCTTATGTTTGTTTTTGTTTGATTGTTGGTTCAGGATTTTACTGCATAAATCTACACGGGGGTCGAGGCCTGTTCTTCGGAGGAATATGGATCTGCAGCCCCTGGTGACTGTGGGCGTGGGTTAGGGAATGGATGGAGTATTGTTCAGCAACTACTCTGCGTTCAGCAACTTGGTTTCAGAAGCTATTTTGTCGGCCTCAGCAACTGCGGTTCAGCAACTCCCTGCGTTCAGCACCTGCAGTTCAGCAACTGGATTTGTTGGTTTCAGCCACTGGTTTTTGTCGGTCTAAGCAACTGGCTCTGTCGGTTTCAGAAACGGGTTCTGTCGGT